CGCTCCAGAGGCGTCCACCGCCAAGCTGAGTTTCGCATCGGGTAAGAAAGTGGAGTCGCTTTGCACAAGTCGCCTTTACGCTGCTGAAATGCTTTAATTGCTTCGTGGGTCCACTCGATTGCGGATGTGTTATTCTTTTTGTTGCCTTTCCCGAGATTGCATAACGCTGTTTGCCTTTTCGGCAAAAACCTTCGAAAGAAATTGATCATGACGAGAAAGCGTAGCAAGTCGCTCGACTCTGCGGGCAGTTGATAATGTCGAATAGCCGGCACTTTTCCGGTGGTGAGATTCCGCCTCCGTTGATTGTGAACGCTAAGAATTTCACTTAAGGTTGGCCCAATAAACATTTCGGGCGGTTTATAACTAATCCGTACTCGCACAGTTTTTCAAACACCAGTTGTAGATGTTGGCGATGATGGTTCATATCCTTCGATGATATGAAAATATCATCGAGGTATGGCCAGCGAAATCATATTCACGGAAGATGTGGTCCATAAATCTTTGGAATCTTTGACTAGCATTTCTTAAACCGAAGCACATGAAGGGAGATCCAAAATGCCGAATGGTGTAGTGATTTCCGTCTTCGGTATGTCGAGTGGCTCAACGGGAGTCTGGTGGTACGCGCGACGAAGATCGTGCGTGGAAAAAATACTACAGCCATGAAGTGAATGAGTGAAGTCGTGCAGATGTGGAATAGGGTACCTGTCTGGCTCGGTAACAGCGTTTAACCTTCGAAAATCCCCGCATGGCCTCCATTCGCAACTTTTTTTTGCCATGTGCAGAGGGTTCGCTGACGGACTGCGAGATGGGCGACAAATGCCTGCGCGTAACAAGACCTGTAGGTATCTCGGCTTTTGCGGCTTTCAGTTTATCCGGAGATAACCGTCTCGGTTTGAAGAAAACTGGTGGACCTTTGGTAACGATGTGATGCGTGACATAGTGTTGTGGTTGTGCGGTCGCAAAACTTTCTATCGTGATGTTTTTGAATTCACTCAATAGATCCTGGAATTGTTGACTCTTGTTGATTAATAATAAATTCAATACTACCTTCTTACCAGCTGGCAGCGACCAAAGTTTGGTTTTATTTGTCATATCATCGATCAGTTTCCGGTGTCGTAAGTTGGCCGGAAGGTTAAAATATGATAAAAAATCGGCCCCGATGATGGCCTGTGACACGCCAACAACGATAAAATTCCTGCGAAATTGTCGGCGAAGTCCCAAGTTGACAAAAATAACCTTTTCACCGTAAGTTTTTATGGTAGACCTGTTTGCTGCGTAGAGGTAGTTGTTTTTGTCAGGGTATCTGCGTTGTTGTTGCGTCGGTGGAACAACGCTAGCCTCAGCTCCAGTGTCTATAAGGAATTTGATTGCAGAGTTCTTGTCCAGAACGAGGAGGAGGCGGTTCGTATTGTTGAGCCTGTCGTTGACCGCCATTGACAACAGATTAATTAGTTTAACTTTTTGGAACATGGACTGCGAAATTTTTTGCGTCGTTGCCAAACTTCAGATGTTACCAACACATCCGATTCGAGTCAGTGTTTCGCAAGCAGAAGCGTGACGGAGGACGGTACCTGGTTCGACTTCTGGAGCGGTTATTTAGCGATAGGTACAAGTGGATCGGTGGATTAAGGATTATATCACTTATTTTTGCCAGAACGTTACTCTCTATTGCCGCCACGACTGTGTGGTACTTGGTTTTGTCATTCGAAATACCAGCGGCGATGAATTGTGATTCCACTTGCGCAATCCACAGCTCTGGCTTTGCGTGCCAGCACGGCGGAATTTTATTGGAAACTTTAGCGATTTCCACGTTGCGGGGATGCAAGTTTTCTGCCAACTGGTTTTCTGATTCATCCTCGGCCATTTTGATTTCCGTCGTGGTCACCATATGTGGGATGCCCACAATAAAATAAGATTTATTTTCCACGTATATTTAATATCTATGTATTTATTTTAGTTATAATTGCGAGCACTCAAAATGCGATGACAAGTGATCAACGAAGTTGGATAACAAGAAAGAGAGAACCAGTTTTCTGCGTTGCCACTTACTTAAAAAACAATTATCTTTACAAACGCTCAGGGTCGCATTTCATAATTGAGAATGAACTATATTATATGTACGCCACAAGCTTTTAACAAAGTCTGGCATGATGGCCTTATATACAAACTAAAGGATTCACTCCGTGCAAATACGCATGCAATTCTAGAAAGCCCTCTGCTGCGGAGAAGCTTCAATCAGGCAGAATTCCTTTAGAACGGAAAGTCACCCTATATATGCAAGTGTCCCTCAAGGCAGTGTTCTAGGACCCATATTGTACGTAATATACACTCGTGATTTGCCAACTGATCAAGCTCTAGCCACTTCAACGTCTGCTGATGACCAGGGAACGGATTTTATGGAAATTACCTTTTTTTCTGCTAAAGAGATAGAGGATATTCAATTAAGAATGTCCACGATTTACCTTTCCTTGATTCCATATATACACATTTGATAATAGCGAAGAGAAAACCTTTATTCCTCATAATATAAGAGTTTCAAAAGTTCCATATTTAAATTGAGCGCCACTGGTATCAACTCACTTCGAACGCACGTTTAGTACATTCAAAGCTGTGTTAAAGCCTGTTCTATTACAGAAATATCAAGTTGATAATGGAGAAAATCGATGGATAAATAAAGAAGTAATAAATGATCATATCGCACACAAAGAGCTAAAGTGCTATCAACTTAGAAAAAATGTCGGCGATTTTGTTTGCAAATATCATTTCATAGCACTTACTTCCAATTAAAGAAAATATTATTTTCTTCATACATTAACTAAAAAACTACTGTTATATCTGTATTTGTATTAGTTGCGTTGAATCTGTACGATCCACAAGCAGTTAAATTTCCCTCTCTGAATTTTGAGTTTAGATCTTGGTGTGCGATGTGAAAATGCGCAACGATGTTTTGTATGAAAAATGAGCAGGAAAAAATGTTACTCATACGCCATGTATGTAAAGATCTCGAAAACTTATCCATAGAATAAAAAATTAACTCGGTTTTCGGAATCAGCGAGCAATTCCGTATAGGAATTGGATAGTGGCGTCCGTTGAATATTTTTCCTGTAAGCCAGTGTTTTTTTTCAGTTTTTTTCTTTTTTTAGTGCCTTCACTTGCCTTTTTTACTATTTCTAGTGTCTCTTCCTGCCGATTTCGCTATTTTATTTTGCCTTTTCCAGCCTATTTCGTTATTTTATTTTGCTTTTTTTTTATAAGATTTTAGGTCCTAAAAATCCATTCCCTGCTGATGACACTGCTATCCTAAGCAATGATTTTTGATTTTTCGGCTTTTCCGATCCCGGGATTTTCGGGATGGCGTTGTCCCAATCCCAGGATCCCGGGATTTAGATATTCATTACTTTTCAACAACTTGAATCGAAAAAATTGCTTCTATATTGTTTGAGAAGCTCTCCTACCATGAAATAAATAATAAATAAATAGGTTTGAAACCTACTTTTTATTTAAAGTGGCGTTTTTATTTTTATTTTTTCTGACCGCACCATTTATTTTGAAGGACTTTGTAATTTCCGAGATATGATTAATTCCAAGAATTGTTAAAAAAGTTCAATGCAATGTAGAATAAAAATATGGGTAACAAATGCAATAGGAAATTTCTTTAGAATTTAAAATTCATAGCTGTTATCAAGTTTATATAAGCCCTTAACATATAATTTTTTCAAAAACAATTTCAAGGATAAAATATTAAAATGACATTTTCAATATTTACCAGCCCTTCCGCACCAGAAACTTGAATCTGTTTAAATTCTACAGCTTTCGTCATTAATTTTATACCCATACTTCCTCTCTAAGCACATTTCTATGAATTTTTTAAATCATTTTTGAATTACTGACGTCAGAGTGAAAAACTAAAAACGCAATTTTACTATATTTGGCCCAGGGTTTCGCGAATATATTGATATTTGTGTTTAAAATTTACTATCGCGCGGTGTTATATATACTGAGCTAGACATTTATAAAATAATATTAATTATTATATAAAAAACGAAATATAGCCAATACTGGTCAAGAAAAGGAGTTTCTATTATTTCCATCAGAGCAAATTACAAATCCCGAAATTCCCGGGATTGCTTGCCAAGAATCCCGGGATTTTCGAGACCTTAATAAGTTCGGGATCCCGGGATCGCGGGATTAACATTCCTAGTTCAGACCCTAAAGAGCCAGCACTTAAAATAAACAGCCAGCCTATACCACAAAAAGGTAGTGTCAAGTACCTTGGGACAACACTACTTAGAAGACTTACCTGGAAAAAGCATATAGAAAACAAAATTTTTCGAGCGAAAATAAAACAAGCAAGCCTTCAATGGGTTATAGGACACAAATCTAAATTAAGCCTAGATAACAATATGTTAATTTTTAATATGATGATTAAGCAATTTTGGGCATATGGAATCGGGCTTTGGGGCACAGCGTGCAATTCAGTTTTGAACAGACTTCAAAGACTGCAGTCGAAAATTTTACGCGCCATAGGCGGAGCACCGTGATACATAAAAAATACGAATATCTACAAAGATCTTAATGTAAATACGGTGCATGAGGGGATAAGAGGGCTTAGCACCAGTTACTCAGCACGGTTAATGAACCATCCAGCTCAACTAGCGAGAGATCTTCTTAGCCCGGGATATGCAAGAAAACAAAAAAAAAAAGGATTTTTCCGATATTATCAAATCATGCGCAATTTAATAAACTAGCCTTCCACGGATGCGCGAGGCTTCGCCACGCGCTGAATGTATGCATTTTTACGTATTTGGAGAGAGAGATCATGTCATCATAAATTAAAGTTTTTGTACATGCGAAGGCCATTCAATTTCATTTGGTATCTAATTTATCCAACGAACGGTGAAGATCTTATAGTTTTTAAGCAGGTGGCAACCCTACTCAGAAAAATGATATATTATTACACATCTGAGACTAAGTATTTTCATTTGATAGTGGCGGTGCAGAACTGGCGCCTACGTTTATTATGATTGAACATGGATACAGAGTATATTAGAGAAAATCTCGTCAAAATCCGTTCAGTAGGCTTCGAGATTACCGCGTACAAAGAATCTCGACTTTTCCTTTATACTATGTATAGATTTCGATATACGCAATATATCAATTTGGGCAACGGAACTCGTTCTTTCAGATCGACTACCCAACACCAGGGTAAGGCGGCTCGGAAACTTATCCTTTCCGACCGAACGCAGTCTACTGGATTGTAGTTACTTAAATACAGAGAAGCGAAGACGGTACGGAACTCGTCCTTTCAGAACGCTTGCCCACCACGTTATCCAGCGATCCTGCTGCGTAGAATCTTGTCGATTCCGACAGCTGCAAGAGCCGCAACAACTGCAATAAATATATATGTAAAAAATTACAAAATTTCTAAGCATTTCCGCAGAAATTTTTAATTTAATGGTAGTCTGTAAGATTTGAAAACTTATTGTTAGTTTCGAAAGAAAGATACAATATACATATAAATATGTACGTATTATACAAAAAAAGTCTTTATGAAATTGTAGCTCGTTATAAAACAAAAACCATTCAATCAAACTGTGTACAAAAATTAGCAAAATTCGACAGTTTCATCAAAACTTTGAGCTTTTAAATTCGATTTCTTAGAAACATACTGAATATGCAGTTTTATAGCCCATTCACCTTTAATAAAACGAAGTACATTTTAAGTAGCTAGCTTACCTTTGTTTTTTTATTTGGTCATTTTTTTGTGGAAGGTGTTGCTACATACAAAAAAATATTTGTTCTCCATACAAAAAAATTTTCGAACATATGGAAGAAAATTCGCGAACAAAAAATTGCCAAATCAACGGTAAGTCTAAGCTATTTCGAACTTATATTCAAATTTAATGGGCTACAAAACTGCATGCTTAAAAAGTTCGAATTGAAAAGTATAAACATTTGATCGATTTTTTAAAATTCGTCGACCTTTTGTAAATGTTCTACAAAGCTTAAAATATGAATTTACATGGTTTTTTAGATAGTAAGCTTTATTTTCATAAAAAATAATAAACATTTTTTAACAAAGAAAAGTATCCAGAACTGCTAAAATATCTTTTGCCTATTTACATTCTCGACACCGTATATATTGTATGTATACATTTTTGCGATCTTTTTTTAAGTTTCTTTCTCTTAAATTAACCTATATTAAAAGACGTCGAGTCTTTTTATTCTAAAAACCAAATTGTATGTTCGGATGCGATGTTTTATAAATGTCCCGATTTTTGTTAACAGAAATCTGGTCACCGTAATTTTGTACTTCAAGGAAACGTTAGCATTAAAATTTTGACTTTGTTCGCACGATAGGTGCAGGTCGAAAGTATGCACCAAACCAATGTTCCAACATTTATTCTGAATCATGTAGCTCATATCACTTTTCTCGCGAAATTACTATTTTAAGACTTATAAACAAATAATTAGAAGAATCTTTTCCACTACAATACCTTATTATGTTTTTTAAATACCTTATTTTTTATCCTAAAGGTATACGAACATGCGCGGTGAGGCGGACATTAGCGAGTAGAGGCGGTCTAATACATACATATATTTTATTTAAAACGTACCTGAAGCTCCTTTACTTGGATGCTGAATATTATTCCATTGTTGCTGCAAGCGTTGGGAATATAATTTTATTCTATCGTTATACTCCTCGTTTTCAAGATTGTGTAAGTCCATAGCGCCCACATCTATCATATTCCTAAAAAATTTAAATGGAAACTTATCAATTTATCCCTTTTAAATTATACGCGCTCAGCGCTTCTTTAAATATTTATTAAGAGATAACTCGGATGAAAAACGGGCTCGCTTATTTGCATAAACAGCCTTTTTATACCTTTCATGAGCATGAAATGGTATTATAACTTTGGTCCGATGTTTGTAAGTACCAGAATAAGAAGAGATAGATACATTAAAATGTATACTTAAATGATCACAACGTCGAGCTGAGTCGATTTAGCCATGTCCGTCTGTCCGTCTGTCTGTCTGTTTGTATGCAATCTAGTCTCTCAGTTTTCGTGGTATCCGGATGAAATTTTGTAGGTGGGTGTATTTTTATAATGTATTAATCATTTGTCGGAACCGGAAGAATCGGACCACTATAACATATAGCTCCCATACAACTGATTGTTCAGATATGAGATTTTTCGCTATAACTTCTCCATTTATGCAGCTAGGAACATGAAATTTTGCAATACTTCCACCCATTATCATCAAAAGACTTACACTGAAAATTACAAAGATCGGGTCACTATAACCTAAATCTCCCATACAACTGATTGTTCAGATATACGATTTTTCGTTATAACTCCTCTATTTATGTAGCTAGGAACTTGAAATTTTGCACTGCTGTCACTAATTATCAAGATATTACTTACAGTAAAAATGGCGAAGATCGGGTCGCTATAACCTATATCCTCCATACAACTGATTGTTCAGATATGGGATTTTTCGTTATAACTCCTCCATTTATGCAGCTAGAAACATGAAATTTTGCAATACTTCCACCCATTATCATCAAAAGACTTACACTGAAAATTACAAAGATCGGGTCGCTATAACCTATATCCTCAATACAACTGATTGTTCAGATATGGGATTTTTCGTTATAACTCCTCCATTTATGCAGTTAGGAACATGACATTTCGTACTATTACTACTCATTATAAACAGAATACTTACAGGGAAAATGACAAAGATCGGGTCACTATAACATACAGCTCCCATACAACTGATTGTTCAGATATGAAATTGTTTGTTAAAACTCCTCAATTTATGCAGATAGGAACATGAAATTTCGCAGTATTTTCATTAATTAACAAGAGAAATGAAAATTACAAAGATCGGGTCGCTTAACCTATTGGCTCCATACAACATTGTTGAGATATGAGGTTTTCAAATAAAACTCCTTCATTTTAACAGCAAAAACCGGGACACCTTCTGAGCTATTTACTTATCAACCATATAAAGTCCACTGAGGAAATCAGCCAATTCGGTGCTCCATGAGGTATGTAACCCATAACTATAATTGTTCGGATTTGAGTTTTTTCTTAAAAACCCCTTCATTTAGACGGCTAAAACAGTGAAATATTGTGAGCTACAGGTATAAGTTTTTTTACTTAACTCCTCCATTTAAGATGGTTAAGGACCTATTATTTTGTACCTTGTCTAAGTTATGACAATCAATTCAAGAAGTCTAGGCTCGGGTGAAGTCGAACATTAAATACCGAAAACCACCGTTATGGTTTTACCCTTCTTTCAAACAACATCTATAGTATAATGAAATATACAGTCATAAGTGGGTGGCACCACGACCATTTTCCAATTTCCATAATAATCTTATTTCTTTTTGAGAGATTATTGTTAGAATTAATTTTGAGTTAATAAGCGTATTTAGATTTCGAAATATCGTACCGCTTGCACAATATTCAGGCATCTGGAGGATGGTTGGCAGACGTTCGGAACCATGAATCAGTGCCTTTTATCGCCGATCCGGCAGATGAGCATATCGTCAGAGATTTGCAGACGCGCCATGAGGTAAATGTTGGAATTGAGCTAATCGGAAAAGATGAGATAAATCCAGGTGGTCAAGAAACACTTTTGGATAACGAGCTCATCGAAAACCTTCCATTAGAGGGCCGAATTCCTATCGATATAACAAGAGATGACGATGCAGAGGAATTGTCTTTTCCAACAATTTTTTGTGGCAAAAAAAGGCGAACGACGCTTAACTACAGCAAAATAGTGAGGTCAGAAGTTCGCAGATATGACCGACGATGTGCACGTGTTGATAATTTGCTCTGGAAATATAAATATTATGAGTTGCAGCGCATTAAAGATGCAATTTCTATTTGTTTGCGGAAAAAATCTGGAGCCTCCAACATCACCGCAGCAAATATGGTCGATACGAATTTTATTAGCAACTTAGTCCAACATGACGAGGGATACCACATCCTAAAGGGTCTCAGATCATCCCCTGCTCACTGGGAGGCAGAGAAAAAGAAGGTTTTAGCGATGATTCGTCAATTTGGGTTGCCATCGTTATTTATCACCCTGTCGGCTGCAGAGACAAAATGGACTGAATTGTTGGTTATTCTAACAAAACTTGTGGACAAAATGGATATTTCCGAAACTGAGGCAGCACAACTATCAAATTCAGAGAAGGCTCGGCTTATAAAGACAGATCCTGTAACCTGTTCACGGTACTTATCGTTTCCGACAAATGGTTAAGCTACTCAAAGATAAAATATTTGAGCCACATGTGCTTATTCATTATTACTGGAGGATTGAGTTCCAACACAGAGGTAGTCCTCACTGTCATGGAATGTACTGGATAAGTAACGCACCTACTCTGGAGACAGAAGGTGTTATAAATATTGACCCCATTGTGGAATTTGTCGACCAATTTATAACAACAGATGGAAGCAATCCAGAGGTGCAGCAATTTATTGACTACCAAAGACATAGTCATGGTCGGGCTTGCTTGAGAGATATAAGAGGTCAGCAAGTTTGTCGTTTCAACATGCCTTACCCACCAATGCCCCGAACTGAGGTATTATTACCTCTGGACGAAAACGAAGTAAGCGAACAACACCTGGCTCTGTTGCAAAAAATTAAAAATGTTTTAAGCCAACAGAATGATAATATGGAAGCAGAGAACTTGAACAACTTTGAGGAATTCTTAATGCATCCAGACATTTCCACAACTTATGAGAATTACAAATTAGCGCTGCGTTCCAGTTTAAAGAAGCCTCAAATATTTCTACGAAGGAAATTTTCAGATAGACTGCTTAACGCATATAACAGCGACATTTTGCGTTTGCATAGAGCAAATATGGACATTCAGTTCATACATAATAAATTATATCAACAAATCTAATAGAGGGGTATCTCAGCTGTTAAGACAAGCCATGGATGAAATAAATGACGGAAATTTCACAATTAAGCAAAAATTACAACACATAGGCAATAAATTTGTTAACGGATCGGAGGTGTCCGCCCAAGAAGCATCCTATAATATTTTGGGTCTCCATCTTTCAGAAGCCAGCGAAGGAGAAATTTTTATTAATACGTCACACCCAGACAAAAGAGTCAGAATGGTGAAGCCGAAAAGTGATCTAGAAAGGCTTCCTTCTGATTCAACTGATATTTATGTACCGAACTTGCTGGATCATTATATTCAAAGGCCAAGTCGGCTAGGGCAACTCTGTCTTGCTGATTTTGCTGCATTGTACCGATTTTCAAAAACAAGAACAGTGTCTACACTTGAAAACGAGGACAATGAAGAAGTCGAACCAGTTGATGAAAATTCTGAAGCAAACGAGCTCCGGCTTCAATTAAATGATAGGAGCGGTTTCATCTGGAAGAGAAAGCGCCCTCTTATATTAAGGTGGAGACGTTTTAGTGTTGAATTTTCTCGATTAGACTACTTTCGGGAAATGGCTATGCTATTTTATCCCTGGCGTAGCGAAGCAGCTGATTTCATCGATGCTGACATAGAATGAGTTTGTAATGACAACCAATCAATTATTGAAGAGAACAAGCAGAAATACGACAAGTTCTCAGACCGTGAGCTCGAAAATATTTTAGAGAACTTAAATCAGCAAACAGCAGAGGAAGATGTTCAGGTTGATGTTACCCCTTTCTTGGATGAAGAGTTTAGAGCACTAGCTATTCCAGAAATCGGCAATGATGTCGACGTATTTCAAAGCGATGAGCCACAGGACCCAAACTTGGAGGAGGTCAGGCTCATAAGACTACCTATACTTATTCAAGAAAATGAGCTGCTCTCAATTGTGCGCGTCCCTGAACAGAAAACAGCGGGAATATTTTTATCATGTTCACCATAACATGAAGCTGAAGAGACACTTTTACGAATACGTCGGAGGCGGAGCTGGAGTAGGAAAAAGCCGATTAATTTCCGCTTTATACCAGTCACTGACAACACGAGCAAACAGCTTATCCGGCAGTAATCCCGAGACAATTAAAGTCTTATTGTGTGCTCCTACAGGAAAAGCTGCATTTGGGATTGGAGGCGTTACTTTGCACTCGATTTTTTCCTTACCGATAAACCAATCCTCAACTGAATTACGACCTCTCAGCAATGATAGTGTTAATTCTATCTATTCAAACCTAATAGACCTTCAGTTAATAATAGTGGACGAAATTTCAATGGTCGGTGCCAAAATATTTGGATATTTAGATGCCCGTTTAAAGCAAATATTTCGCTCTAGCGAGTATTTTGGAGGTATACCATTAATTGTTTTTGGCGACTTAAAGCAACTCTCGCCAGTAGGAGACAGATGGATTTTCTCCCCAAACCAATTGGATCCATATAGCGCAATTACTGGCACACCACTTTGGGATTTGTTCCGTTTCTTCGAACTCACCGAAATAATGCACCAAAGAGAAGATCAGGCATTTGCCGTTGCTCTCAACAACATGTCCGAAGGAAAAATAACATCTGATGATATCGAGCTCATTAAAGCAAGAGAAACCAATTTTAACGAGATACCCAACGACTGTATTCATCTTTTTTATTCCAACGCGGATGTATCTCTATATAATACTGCAAGATTGGCTAAAATCGCCACAGAAGAGTTTATCTCTACAGCGAAAGACAGTGTGAAGGCGAACTCTCTTTCGGAGCGAAGTAAAACGGTTATATTGGATGCCATTAAGAATTTTAAAATATCGGAGACA